CAAGCCGCCCCGTGCCGTCCGCGCCCCAAACGCGCCCTTCCAGAGCTGAACCGAGGTCACGCGTCCGCAGCTCCCGCGGGGGAGCCGTGCTCTGCGCACGCAAACAGCGGGGCCCAGCCCGGCCTCTCCCACCTTCTGCAGGAGCTACAGCTCAGGCCGCCCTGCCTGAACCGGACTCTTTGTTCAATTAGGCCTCTACGGGGCAGGAGTAATTTGGGAAAAATAATGAAAAAAATGCTTGCTTGAAATAGAAAAATCAGGTTTTTTTTTCTACATATGCAGCAAACAAATTTAGAGAAACAGCGCAAATTTTAGCAACAAATACAACACCTAGGTCCTGTTTTAATGTGGACTTTGACATCTATGAATTTTACAGCACATATACGTCCATGTTGTTATGTCTAAGAACTAGTCCTAAGCAATTTCCCCGGGAGAACACTATGCTCCATGTCTCTACAGGGCAGTCTCTGCCCTACAAATAGAATGCCGGCTTCCGCATCAACAAACCTAGTCTCTGTATGTAAATACTGCTTGCTGGCTGCAGAAGGAAAAGATTAGACCGTTGTTGATTCAAGTTAGCCAAGAAAAACTCACAGCCAACGTGCCGGGCTCACTCTTCGTCCCTTTATGAAATTTCAGCATAGCCATTCAAAAAGCAACGGGGCTCCAGTCATGTCAGTAGCAAATTTAACTGGAAATAAACTGCACAGACAGAAGGTGCCATTTGGCTAACAGTTGTCATTGTTACTGCTCTCCAAGGTGGCAAAGAACCCAGGTTAGATGTTGGCCAAATGAGGCATATGAAGGCAACAAGTATTTCTTGATCCCTGCACGCTTTAGGGGAACCTCTTCTCTATGCACTGCAAGAGGCTCTTCCCGAACTCCTGCTCTTTGTAAAACTTACTGCTAGGGTGTGGAAGGCAACCATAAAGGATACAGTTCCTCACCTTCTTTTTGTTACCTTTTTAGATGGATGTACTTCTCTGGCATATGAATGCTTTAAGTAGATGAATTTCCTCCTCCTCCTCTTTACCTCTTCCTTTTCTACAGCTCTATTTAACTGTCTGTTAAACTGAGAAAAGATGAAGGACTGATGGGGTCTGCAATACAGGCAGTGCTCCAGCAGTTCAGCTGACGTGAAACTGATATTGACCTTAAGAAACATCAGCTGAAAAACCACCTACACCCTTCAAGTCCACCCGATTCCCTTCAGTCCCAACTGCTTGGGTATGGGGGATAAGATCACTTACCTGTCACGAGCAGTCGTGATCAGGGGTCACGTTGCTGCAGCACCTTGAGAAGCGTGGCAATTCAGTTGCTCTCCATTCCTCGTTTTCCTCCATTTCTTGTTTTACAGGTACGCTTTGCTGCTTCTTAGTATTTCACCAAACCCAGGATGCAACATTGATCCATTGATAAACCGCAACACACCTCCCACTTACACACAGGGGGGTGTAATGTGACTACTTCGGAGCAATCCAAGGCCTCTTTGCTTGTTGCCCATTTTTCCCCTTTGCACTATACTGAGATGCAAGGTGGGATTGTTCCAAAAAGGAAGTATTAAAACAGTAAGAACACAATTAGCCTTTCCCAGGCTTGGGAATTCATACTTGTCACTGCAGCTGTTCATATAAACATTGCTGTACTTTTAAAAACCCCTAAAATACATCGCTGACCTAAGGTGGCTGGTTTTCCTCTTCCCAACAGACAAATGCAACACTTTTTTAATCCATGCAACTATTCAGTTCTCCAGTTCATGGAATTAAGCAGAGCCTCTGCAGGGTTTGTTCTTTCTAGGGTACAGATGCTAAGACTTAGACTCCTTGATGCAAGTTTCACTTAAAATTCAAACATATCCTTATACTTAAGTTGAATTCAACCCCAAAAGCTATTATTTCACCAGTTCCTCAGAGGAGCTGCCCAGCCACCTGTGTCCCAGCTTCCCTGCCATGCCCTTGGGACTGGGTTCCCAGAGTTGGGCTGCTGTGGCCCAGCCCTTCTGGGCCCTCCATCACATCTTCCTCAGACCCTTTGGGACTGCCAGCAGGAACCTGGCTTCAGGCGATCTCAGGAGACTGCAGGGAGCAATCCATCCACCTTCCCTATGCCACCGATGCCTCCGCACGTTACGACCACAGCCTTATAGCTGGTCTAGCACGACCTCTTGAGTTGTCAGACTCCTGAAGTCCAAGGGATGAAGCCCTCACCCCACAGCAGTGATGCATATTGGAGTTCCAGTCAACGCAAGCATGCTTTGGTACAAACCTTTATTATCTCACACCTCCTTGCCACAACTGACATTCATGTTTTACAGGTACCATAAAAAAGTTACAAAGTGTAAAATATGCTCTGTAGTTCACAAAGTAGAAATTCTTGAGGACTGACTTTCTGTAAACAGCATTTGGCGGAGAGGTGTTCACCCACAAGGGCAGAGGCAGGCGCTGTCAGCGTGAGCATGTTGGGGAGGCAGGGTCTGCAGGGCACAGAGCAGAGTGCCCGTCCTGTCGATAGGCGCCTCGCTTCCCTGGGGTTACCCATGTTGTTAAAAGGCACAAAGAGAAATGCACCACAGCACGGGCCCAGCGAGCGCCAACATCCCACCAGAGCTCTCGGCACCACCTGGTTCTCCCAGTCACCACGGGGGAGAGGGGGGGGGTGTCCCCATTCCTACTAGCCGTTTGCTCTCGCTCTGGCAGGCACGAACGGCAACCGAAGCCTGGGCTGGTACTCACGCTGACAAAGATGGGAAGCCTCCTCGTGGCTGCGGCAATGGGAGGACCGGTGCCTGCACTGGCCACAGCGAGTCTACAGCTTCCAGGGCTCTGGCCTTTAAGCTGGGTATTGCAGCCCCATTTTACAAATCCACGTATTAACATAGAGGTAAGTATTTCACGTGACAGCACGCCTATCAGGTTTAGAGACTGATACTCTATTTTAAAATAGTCCTAGAAACACTAGACAATTTGTTAATAAAAGGTAGTGCAGAAGAACTGTCATAAACAATATGCAGCAGTTATTGAGGAATAATAACATATTTAAGTAGCTTGGAGATTTTTTTTCTTTTTTTCCTTCATCTTCCCATGTTACAACGCAATGAAAACTTCCATAGTCAGAGTAACATAATCCCTACTTGTTCTAACTGTGCCAGTTACAGATTTTAATTTTCTCACGTTCTAACTGTGCCAGTTATGCATTATTATTTTCTCATGGAATTCAGAGGCAAGCCTGTTTGCAGGGTACCCTCTGGGCCAGATATTACCCCCAAATCAATATCCGCATATTCCCTAGAAATTTGGGCTAATTTGATCAACAACAATCCCTTGTTACTTCCCATCCTCAAGCCAGCGCTAATGCTTTTAAATTTACATCCTGAGCTTCTGTATCATTAAGGAAATGGGAAAAGAGCAGACTGAGAATGAGAGGAAATATCTCATTAGAGCAGGTGATCTAGGAGAGAACAGTCCAACATGGACTCCAAATTCTTCTTTCATGAATAATCAGCAGTATTCACCAGGGCAGGCAGCAAAAAAAAAAAAAAAAAAACCCAAATCCGAAGGAAATTTCACACAGCTGGCTGAGCAAAAATGACTACTCAGGGCTCATGAGTTACTACAGTCCTCAGGACCTGAGACCCCTCTTCCCAGGCAGTGCTGGACCCCCCTAGACATGTGGCCCTTCCAAGAGCTGAAACAATCCTGATCTTAGTCTCGTGTTAAACGTGCAGTCGCAACACTTCCTCTTCTCAAGCCCTGCTCCTAAACCCCACTTCTGCTGAATGATAAGCCACAGCTCCGTATTTTGTATGCATACAGAGTCCTTCAGAGATCTTTACCCAGAGAAAGACAGACAGAGAGTGAGGAAGTTAAGATGCCTACAGCACAGCAACCATCAGGCAGCAAAAGCATGGGAAGGGAGGGCAAGCACACGTGGCGCCAGGAAAGCTCAAGTGGAGGCGAATTGCGGGCACACTGGCAGCAGTCTGTCAGGGAGGAGGAAGCTACTTCTTCAGGCATCGGAACCTCCAGCCCCGGCTCCCAGAACACCAGACGGCTGCCATCCTAGAGAAAGCAAGAGCAGGGTTTGCTGGCTCAGTGCTGGTCACATCTGAATGACAGACAGGCAGTAGAAGGTACGGCCCTCCTAAGGAAACCAACTTGTTGCTGGAGGGTTTTTTTGGAGCACATCAGATTAGCCGCTCTGTCTGGCAAATACTTACTCGGCTCTGGGGCTTTGGTTCATTAGGAGTCCACGCCGTAGGAGTCAAGATATTTCTACTCTTCCTTGAAACACCTTCATCTTGCTAAGATCTTTTCTTTCCAGAGTTTTAATTTTTTCCCCAAAGTGCAAGCTGCATTTCTCCTAAGGAAACTCCAGCCCAGCAAGCACACAGCATGTCCAGTGCCTTTGCGGAGCCAGTGCTGCCCCGGTGCTGCACTGACCCAGCTGCAGATGCCCCGGGCTGCCTGACAAGCCTGCGCCTGTCCTGTCAGAGCACTTAAGTGATGTAATATTCAGGCACCAAAACTGCTTAAAGCAAACCAAACACTTCAGTAAAACCAGATCTGCAAAGTCCACGTGCAGAGAGAAAGCATTTACAAATACAAGGATTTATCTCATTGAATTCAGGAATATACTGTAATTCTCTTCACACACCATCATCTCCAAGACCTAGGCATTTTAACTGAAAAACAGTTCGGCTAAGAGGTTTTTTTCTTTTATTTTCTTAAATGGATATCCACATTTAGGATAAACCTTCTCTCAAATTTAGGCACCTGGTTTATATACAAAGCATCCTCCAAACCTGCTGCACCCCAGAGCTGTGCTCACACTGACTTGGCAATTACAGCCATGTGACACTGCAGCACGGCTTTCCACATACTTCCCCACGCCTATCAGCGGGGAAGAAAAAGCCATATATCAAGTATGCTTTCCAGGGTGAAATTTCAGAACTAGACTGAACAAACTGGGCTCCCCTTCTTCCTGCAGAAGTGCTTAGCATATGATCATTTTTAATTTATGCAAGAAGTAAAGTTCACATGATTCCCCCACTAGCTTCCTCAGTACAATTCTCCTGCCCCGTGCCTGCCACTTCCTCTGAAGCTGGAACTACCAAAGATGCTTCATCTTCCAAACTGATGATCCAAAGCACAGCTTGTCCAAAACAGTCATTCAGTGCTTCCCAGCACCCAGTGTATACCTGCACACAGGAAACTCAACACACTCCTCTCTTCCAAACAGAGGGTTTGCTCTGCTCCACAACTCGGACAAACCACTTTTGCGATATCCTAATCAAGGCAGAAAGCTCCTATTTATTCTTGAATTCAGAAGTAAATGGCTTATAATAGCCATCTGTGGAAAACATACACCTTCACTTCTACGGAAGAGCAGCAGGCCTTTCTGATACTCAGAGAACAACCTGATGTCACATTTGATGCATGCTGCTAAGTCTCTCAACTTTTAATCAAAGACTTCTCAGGTTTGTACTCTTCCTGCTCGTGATCTCATGCCGGGGCAGTTTCCTCCACTCAAGCTATGGTTAGGTACCATGGCGGTAAGAACACCTGCATGGAGTCTCTCACTAGCATTTCTGGTATGGCTGAACCTAAAAGGACAACCCAAAACAGCACTGGCTTTGAGGGTCACACCCTAAGGATTTTTTTTTTCCCCCAAGAGTAAGATAAAAATCAATAAATCATCTAATAATCCCTTCTTAAAATTATTCCTTACACAAGGATAATTATAGATTGCAAAATACAGATTGCAAGAAAGACATCTTTCAGCATACACTGTTTTATCCATGAGATTTGGAATTAGAAATTGTAATTTGCTACTCAAAGATGAGAGATTTATGCTCCGGGATCCCATAATCTCTTTTGTGTTCTTCAAATAATTTTCTTAGTTTCTGTAGATACAATGCATGTAGCTGTTCAATCTCTTCAGTGGTAGGGTTCAAGTTCTTTTTCACAGGGATGGGGCTTCCCACTGTAAATCAAACACAACAGCAGCATTAGCTTCACTGACATCTCTTTTTAAGTGGTACTAAAGGTATCCAATGTGAGGGATGTGCCTAAGAGGACAGTGGTGCCCGCAACCATGCAGCCACATGAACCGGACTGAAGGAAATATAGGCATCTTCCAATTTATTCAAAACGGGTATCACTGCAGCAGCACCAGAAATGTTGTTGGCTACCTCAGCCTAGGGAGTGGTAGCACATTGTCAACATGGCTAACCGGCTCGGGTGGAGCCCAACGTGACTCTGCAGCTTTCAGGAGCTGAGTGAACACTTTCAAAGCCGTGTTGAGCCATACACCTACACACACACATACACACCCCCAAGAATGCGGGGACATGGTGATAGTTTTCAAACATGAGGAAACAGAGACACGGAAGGTGAGGGATTTCTGGAGATCATACAGCAAATGTTGTTGCAAGGCTCTGGTCTTGCTGATTTGAAGCACTCCTGTGCTTTAGCCATGGACCACCTCTGTCCTTGCAGATTTGCCGCAAAGTGTTTCAAGCTTCAGAACAGTCTCAATGTCCCCAGCCCAAGGAAAAACTACAGAAAACACGTTGCTCTCATTCCAATGCTTTGAAAACTTTTTGGCTTTAAAATAAGCGATATTTTTAGCCTGCTTAGGCACAGTGTGGGCTTTAAAAATGACATCTTTTCTAAAACATTTAACTATATGCACTGATAAGATACAGAGCTGCATGAAATTTAACATAAAGAACTACATTTTTGTCTTAAACATTTTTATTTGATTCATACTAAAATCAAATCATCCCTCCATTAAAAAGAGGGCTTTCTTAAATGTCCCTTGTGGAATACCACAAAAGCTCAATACACTGTTCCGTAGAGATAGGCTTCATTAGTTCACTCAGCTCAGAACGTGTCTAAAAATGATTTATCCAAAATACAGAGACAGCCAGCTATTCCCTTCACATGATGCTGAGCACAACTTTTTTAAAGGTGTGGTTATCATAGTGCTAGTATAAGCCATTAAAAAAAAAAAAAAAAAATTAAAAAAAAAAAAAAAATCGGAAGACATTCAGTCCACTGCTCCAGTGAGTGTAGATGACCAGGGATTAAAGCTTTTGGGAAAACAACTCTTCCAAACTGCCTGCCGACATGGCATGCATGCTCTCAATTAAACATGAACAGATCTTTCCATGGGGGAAAAAAAAAAAAACAAACACAAAACCATAAGGGAAGGAAAGGCCCTAGGTAGCTGCAATGCCATCTAAGCAGCAGCCTGCTGAAGGGCTGGGGCAGAGCTGCCCCAAGGTGCCTCACCATTCCCTCCTCCGTCTCCCCCCTGTCTGGGTCAGGGCCACACCAGCTCCTTCCAGGAGCCTTGCTCTGGAGCACCGCTGCGGTGGCTGGCCATCAGCTGGAACGCCCCACTGCTGCTTCTCTGCAGAGCTAAGGACTGAAGGTGCTGGGCATCTTACAAAGTAACTGCAGCATCCAGAATCTGCAGCAACAGCCACAGAGCTGCAGCAGCCCTCTGGTACAGACTGGACAACTCCTTGGGTTTTCTTGAGGATTGCTGAGGATAGAAGCCTGTGAATAACTGCGAATCAAGAGTAAGGGTTGGCCTGGGACAGAAAGGGGAAAGGGAAAAAAGAATCCCCTCTTTTAATTGGGGGGGACAGGAATTAAAAAAAAAAAAAAGGAAATATTTTAAACCTCACATACTTGCTTTAGATGTACAGTAACCAACTGTTTCTGTTAGAGCAGATTTATACGTTTACACAGATGTTAGTAGTGCACTTACACATTTTTAAACATTTGCAAAAGCACTAGAAAAGGCACAGGGAACTTACCAACAGTATGAATAGGCTGCCTGTAAGGTATTAAGCCAAAACTATATTGAAATACTCCTCTAGCATGAAATAGCGGTAAAGCAAAGCCCATTATCTTTTGCATCTTCTCCTGTACGTTTCTGAGCCATGAACCTTTGGGGTTTGCAACTTGCTTGAATAGCTCATTTTCACCAAAGGAAAACACCGGGACCAGATGAGCCCTGTAAAACAACGAACACACTGAGAATCCCACATCAGCCTGCGCTTGCACCACGCTTCGCATCAGCAGCCTGGAAATGGTTTCACAATAACCGGCACAGAAAGCTTCGGCAGCTCTAGCCTTCATCAGCAACAGGCGTTTAACTCTGAACTCTGCTGATATGCAGCTGCTTTGGGTTTTCCAGGTTTTTAAAAAAAAAAAAAAAAAAAAAAAAGAAAAGAAAAGGTGATTGGCATACAACTAGCAGCTAGCTTTTTGGGCAGTATTTAGCTGGTTGTTACACATCACAACTTTTTATGACTGTTCATAATAATAAAAATGAATAATTGTATATATCATAATTGTTATTATGATCTTATCCACCACTATTTTGGCAAGTCCACCCTTGTTCCCTGGCATTTTCTGCCTTGGCAAGCCAAGCAGCCTCAGTGCTAACCTTATAATGCTCCCAGCTGGGTGGCGTCAAAACCAGATCTTGGCTTTCCTCTGCCTTTTGACCGAAGTAATGCACGCACTTGATTTCAGCACAAAACCAGTGATAAAAACCAGACATCCTTACAGACATGAGTGCAATGCCAAATTCCTCTGCTGTCCGATTCCCAGTGAAACCCTGCTTTCCCCAGACTTCAAAAACACTAGCATTAATCCGTTATTACCAGAGGTCAGATCCTACCCACAGAAATTACATGAACTCTCTCTGGCTCCTGCACAACCTAGTAAGTCTCATTCAGTTCATGAATTGGCTTGGGAAGACAGGCACTGACTAGCTCCTGGACAAACTACTTAGGCAAACACACCACTGTATTTAAAACCTTGACTGCAGCATGCTTCTCGATTAACACTTAGTTGCATTAAATAGGATTCTACACAGTGTAAAGAAAAAAGAGCAGGGTAATCCCAGCAGCCTCTGAAGGATACAGAGGTGTTTTATTTCCTTTAGTTGAGCATTAGCTGCTGTATCTTAGCTCCACTCAGCCCAAACTACTTTTGAGAAAACCTTTCTGTAAAATAGCAGCATTGCTATAATATTGTCAGGATGAATTCCTGCGGAGCTCTGAACGCCTGGGGAGGACACACTGGACACAGAGCTGGCTGGGAAGCACTGGGGGCAATCAAACCCCACCGGTATGGACAAAAAACCAGCTTCTACAGCTTCTCAAGCCTGAGGATGCCCAGAGACTATCATTGCCAGTCACTACGCTGACTGGTGTCTGCACAAAGGTTCTTTCTCAAACAGGGCATATATCACCCAGCCACCTGTAAAGGAAATATCAGAGCCTGGTACATTGGCTGCGTAAATACTCTGCTTTTTACTACAACACTAAGACAAACAGGAACATCTTATGGTGCAATAGCATCCTGAGACTGTGGGATTTGTTTTAATCTGGTGAAGGCTTTTGCAAGATGCTCTGTAGGAGGCTGAGACAGAGGAATAAGTAACTTACGATTGTGAAACTAAAGCTAAGTTAGCTGATTCATCATTTGTTTCACGTCTTTAGGATTTTTTCACTTGGTATCAGGTACCTGTAGTACCTCGGACCAGAGTGTCTTTTCCAGAAGCACAGAGGACTTTTGGTGACATATTCAGCCGCATTTGACAAGCTCCTAGCTGAGGAACCACAGCTTCTCTGTGCTGGCACTACCGGAGCCAGGGCCAGAGAGCACAGGGCTCCGCATTGCGCCTTCCTCTCTTGGTATTTGATGCTGCAGATCAAAAGCACCAGGAACACAGGCAGGCACCGATGGCAGGTAGATCTTCTCACCCGCCTCCCACAAGCCTCCCTCACCCTTTCGTTTCGGTGTGAGTCGGAGGCCTGTTTCACATTTTGTTAATCGTTAGAGTGTTACAACCAGAAGCGATTACCAGATGCAGTGTCTTTGGACGAGAGCTCGGGACTGCCGGCAGCGCTGCAAGGGCTGTACCGGCTACAGGCATACTGCCCTACAGTCCCACAGCCCTACCGTACAGAAATGAAGTCAGGATTCCTACGCGTCACGCACAAGGACCGTCATCTGAAACAAAGGGCTTCATAAGGAAAGAAGTGGCCATTCCTGTGCTTTGTAAGTGTCCTGATCTTGTTGTTGTGTGTTGGGGACGCTTTTGAAATCAAGGCCATGAGAGGCACAGGTGTATCTGGTTTCTCAATCCAAACCAATTTAGATGAGAGATAAACACCAACCTTTGTGATCTGACAGATCAGACATTTATGGACACACTTTAAAAAAAAATAAAAAAAAAAAAAAGAGCATCTAAATATTCTTCTAAACTTTATGGTTAAAAAAAATAAAAGCTACTGACAGTGTTTAGGAACCCACTGGATTGATCAGAAGTTGAGCAGAAATTGAGTAAAGATTCATTTAGTCACTGAAGTCCTAACTTAAATACACAAGTGTTGTTTCTGGGTACAAATTAGACTGAAATGTTACTTTATCAGAGAACGGGTCCTTTATGAGACTTCTAGTGATATGTATAAGAAACCCTCTTGGAATATTTTGACACAGAGTAGTTTCTAGGAAAAATGGACCTTAGCATCCTGTGTGAAAACAGAGTTGTTCTCAGAGACCACCTTTTTCCCAGTTAATAGCTTAAAAAACTGCTGCAGATTTCTCAAGACTAGTATTTTTTTCTCATTGCTTTGCATGTCGATATATAATCCTGGGAGCTGTTCAGAAAGCTTAGCAGGACCCAGTCCTTGGTTCCAATATTTCTAGTATACAAGACATCTAGACCAGTCCAGCACAAACACAATAGCTTACACTATGTAAATCACTCAAAAGATATCAATACCATCTCTGTTTAGTTACACACTGATGGCTGTTCAATAGTAAAAAGTAAGCTAGTTTTTCTGATATTTTCACCAAAAATTCCCAGAAACTTACTTTTATAAATAACAATCTTCAAAAGAAAGCCTTTGGAATAAAGGTGAAAACAAATCTTCCTAGACTGCAATTTTCAACAATTTAATAAAACAGGGCCTAGCTTTCCAATATATTTTTTGTTTGCCTAAAACACTAAGAAAATTCTATCTTACTATAACTTCAATTTACAGAACAGGAAACAATGTCTGCTCCACTCAGCAATAACAGCCAAGGTTTACAAATACTGTTTCATAATTCTTACTCTTTGCTAGTGCAAAAAACAACTGAAACAAAGCACCAGGATATGCTAATAACAACTACTGCCCACAAATTATGAAAGTCAAAGGGAGTTTTCAACACTCCTGGACTGGATCTAGGTAGACAGACTGGCTCCTGTGCCAGACATCTGCACGTTCTTAGAGAATGAATTTGTTCACATTCTAATTGTATGAGTTTACTATATATAATATGAACTGTATTTAAGAATCAATCTATATTCAAAGCATGCTTACTACAGAACACAGATGGGAAACCTACCCATGCTTCAAGGCCATTTTAATAAAGCCCTTCCTCTTGAGGATGTTCAAAGTTAAACTTCCAGGATGTGCATTCAGAGATTCCTCTGCTCCTCCGATCACGATCACAGACGCGTGGCCGCCGCCTTCCTTATTCAGCACATACGAGACGCTCTCCTTGGATGCGGAAACCATTCCTTCAGGAGCAAACATTTTAAGAGTGACTTGCTAGATCTTCATGTACAAGTACAGTGGAATTTAAGAAATATTTTAAAATATCTAAATGATGTTTTGAAATGATTACAGCATAGGACAGGGTTTAAAGATCTGGGTTCAATCCCCTCACTCTGCAACAGAGTTGGTTTTGGGTAAGTGCTTTGATTTCACACCGATGAGCTAAAGTCTGCCTGCCACCGGAACTGTGAGATCTTCGGGGAGGAGTGTGCTCTTCTGCCAGCTTAACTCCCCCTCGGAGATGCTGTGCCTGAGGGCAGATGAGCCGAGTGGCCGCAGATACTGTGGAGAGGCAGCAGCTAAAGCCACAGAGCAGGTGCATGTAAACACAGGCACAGCGGGTTTAACAGAATGAATAGAGGACTTGTTAACTCAAACACGGATCTGGGGTGCCAAGCCAGTCCCCTTTGTTCTTTTCAAAGCTACAAAGCAGCAGCTCCGTCTCAGGCAACGGCACAACAGCGTCAGAAGCAGCAGGAAGGGCTCACCATTCCCAATGACTCTGTCAGCTCATTCTCTAGTAACCAGGACCTGGCACTCGTCCATCTGTTTAGGCTAAAAAAGCAGAACATGTGAAGCTTTCCTCATCCTAATACTCCAATCAAAGGCACACGGCTGTACAAGCCTTTAACATCGACTTAGACCTTGCTCTGAACGTGGTGCTTTGGAAAACCCCCTTTCTGACAGAGATGCATCTGACCCCTCCAGAGTTCCTTTGTGCTCCGAGCTTTATTTCAAAGGCTCATAGTGGTACCTATTTACCCAGAAGCCACATTCAGTCACATTGTGTTGAATTAATATAGTCTAAATTACAATCTAGAGATCAAGTCTAGTTTGTGGTGTTGTTTGGTGGGGCGTGGGGAGGTGGTGTTTGTTTGTTTTTCATTTTTACAGGGCTAGTACCAAAGCATGCTCTTTCGGATGCCAAGCAAATACTTCATCTCCTGTTACCCACTTTCTTTTTTTCCCCATTAGGGACATTACAATGTGGATTATAAAAATCTCACAGGAAAGGCAAGATGATCGTGATGTAGTTTTGAGAGCTGGCCACCAAGAGAAATAGCTTACTCCTGGAGCTAGTTCAGAGACCTCAGTAAAAAGCTAATTTCTGTTCACCACCTATGTCTTTACAGTCACTGTTGCTCTGAAAAACACAGCTGACTTGAGACTCACGAGTAATTTGAGTGATGCCCGGTCACCGCTTGGCATGCATTTTCTCTGGAAGAGAAAGCAAGAGCTGCTGTCTTTCCCTGGGACAAATTTGAGCTGAAGCTGAGACGCCCGCCTGCGTGCGGGGCGCTGCTCCCTGCTTGCTCACCCAGCAGCTTCCTGACAGCTGCAGCCTGGCAGGCTTCGGAGACGGGGAACAAAAGACAAGGAGAGGAAACTATCTGCTAGGAGCACGGCTTTCAGGAGGTGGAAGATTTTGCAAGTGTTTTACAATTTGACTGATAACCTGCATTATACCGAAGGTCCCCTGTGGTTTATCAGCTACATACCTGTGAAAAATGAGCTACAGTACTGACTTTAGCATGCTTTTTACTCAAGTTGCTTCTCACCTAGCAGGTAAATATTTGTTCTTATGGGTCAAGATGCCAAAAACCTGTAAAGCTGACTTCCAGGCTAGGCAACATTTAAAATTGTCATCTTCCACCACTGCCAATCCCTTAACTTTACAGGCCTGAAAGAATCTCCTCAGAAATAACATTTGCATGGAAGGGCATTCCCTAGTATGTTGCAGTATACAAGGATATGCAATTCTGATATCAATCTGAACAACATCCTAGGCATGTTTCTGTAACGGAGCAGTTGCATAGCTTATCCGAAATCACAGCGTCTGCATTGTAGTCGAAAACAAGAGCTACATCTCTGTCTCCCAAACCTAGTCTTGTGCACCAGACCGCACTTACCCAAATGCTCTAGTTTAATGAATTTAAGTAACTCCTGTATTAAACCACCGTGGGGGAACACTAGTCCTGATTTCATTATACATTCTTCTGTTCCCCAAACTTTATTGCTTGTTATTTTTCTCTTTTATTACTGCAGTACCAGTCATCAGTATCACCCCTTTATGACAAGTGCTGCTCAGAACAGAGAAAAAAAAAAAGTTTCTGCCTTCAGAGTTTACATTGCCATTAAGATTACAGAAATTTGCAATATGGGACCTCACTCAGAAGTAGGTAATTAACTTCTAACTAGAAAGATATTTGTAATGAGTAGGACTTTAGGGCTTTCAGGTAAGAGATTATCCTGAATTTGTTTTACAAGTGTTTGTGCAATGACTAAACAATGTCATAAATTAATATGCCCTTCTCTTCTTGTAAATAACTGGTACTCAGTACTGCTGTCTCACAGTTCAAGGCAAAGCCAGCAATTTTTTTTCAGAAAGAAAAAAGCTCAGTGATACAGTTTAACAAAACTATTAATAAAACCTTTCAAATTGTTTTGCAACAACAGTTCATGATAAAACGGGGGTTTAATTTAGCACCAAGGCCAGTCCTTCTGAAGTGAAATTACTTACCATTTATAGGCACACGAACAGACCCTACATTTGAAGCAGAAGTTATAATATGGAGCAACAGCTGAGACATTCTGCTTTTACCTACCAGCACTCATTATGTATTCTCTGAAGAAGGGACAGCCGAACCAGATGGGCATGATATGAAGATACGGAGTAAGCCCAGGAAATAAATTTTTGAAACTTGGACCGGTGCAAAAGTTTCCGAAGGCTCCAGCTACCAGGACCCCATGAGGGTGAAAGCCCAGTAAGTAGTTGTGATTTGGATTCAGATCTGAAGTTTTTATAAGCTGGAAAATAGAGGCAGTGGAGGACATTATAATACTCACCTCGGAAGGATTCTCAAAAACAACCAGCATGGAGACTGCACATTTACAGGGCACAGAACCGAGGAGAATTCATTTCCTTCTGAGCATTCTAAACTACCGTCCTGTTTTACAGCTGAACAAAGTTTAAGTAGATGTGTCTCACGATATCATGTCTAACATTTACTGTACTGAGTCACTATCCTGTGACCCAAAAGTCCAAGCAGAAAATCAGCCCCTGACCCTTTTTGTCACTAAATCTCAGACTTCCCATGTTTTAAGAAGTCAAGTTCACCCTGGAATAAGTATTAGAATTTTACCAATGATGAGTCTTGGACATTTGTCCACACTTGTGGCTATTCAAGCTGTCTCTGTTCCAGTGTCTACAGTTCTGCAGGAAACCTTTTACTCACGTGAATAGGAAAGTACTCCCTAAAGTACTTCCAAACAGTCCAACTTCTGACCCACTGGGACCGTCTGCCCCCCGTGCATGGTGTTTCCCAGTCCAGGTAGAGCCACAGCAGGTACAGAACAGCGAGGAACCAGAAGTTGCCCAGGATCAGGATCACAAAGAAGCCACAGCAAAACTCTGCTACAAGAGACAAAAAGGAAACCACAGCAAGCATTAATCACGCCTGTCTCCTTTTAAGACCTTGAATTCCCAGCCCTGATATTTTTATTACAGGTGCTACTCAAAATGCATGCAAATTGAAGTTAGCTTAGTCCACATTGTGTGAATGTTGCTACACTGAGGGTGAAACACCTACAAGGGTGTATCACCTCCATCTATATTTCTTGCTCTACTGCACAACTGGACAAATAAGCCTAAGATGATGCAGGTTTACTTTAATAAAACAAAAGCATAAGCTGAGAACTAACACACTTGTCTTCTCCCCATGGTGAGGGTGAACACTAATGTTTGGCAGAGAGCATCTGGTTGACCTAAGGCAAAATAAAAGGAGACAGGAAGAGCTGACAAAGATGTGATGCTCCTGTGAGCGAGAAGGGAGGAGGGCAAGGGAAGGAAAGAG